GCTGTATAGAAGATAAGAACAAGACATCTGGCTTCAAATGATGAAATGACCAGCACAGTGTCCAGACTTTCCAGATGGAGAGTAAAAGCAAAGCAACCTACAAGTGCAACACAGCTGTGGGAACTTTTATCTGAACACTATTTGTTTTCAGTTGTAGAACAAATAACACATATATTCAGCTGTTTGATTACAGCAATAACAACTGGAAAAATTGAGGTGACCCCAAACCTTTGACTGGTAGTGATGGATAGTGTCTGAGATTTTTTTTTCATTCATTTTCCTGAACGGGGGGGGGCTGGAGCCAATCCCAGCCAGCAATCGGGCGAAGGCGGGGTACACCCTGGACATGTCGCCAATCCATCGCAGGGCTAACACATAGACGAACAACCACACACACGCATGCACACACACACACACTCCTATGGGCAATTTAGAGACACCAATCAACCTAAGCTGCATGTCTTTGGACTGTGGGAGGAAGCCGGAGTACCCAGAGAGAACCCACGCAAGCATGGGGAGAATGCAAACTCCACACATTTTTATTTTTCCTACAACTCTTAAATAAAAATTTGTCAGCGATATAGTCGCTATCAGTCAGTGTACATTATGTCATTATTACAAAATACTAAAGTGCATGAATTTCATAATACTCCATGTTGATACTAACTTGTGATCCTCACACAAACACATTTTCATATCTATCCATTCCATGATACTGTGTATCATGGTGTGTGTTATAGTGCTGCGCTGACCATCCTGATCTCCCTCTACTGAACGAGGAGAGGATGGAGGGGCGGGTTGGGGATTATATCTCCATCCTTTTGCAAATCTCACACCAAACAATCAACCATCAGAAATAATCCTCTGAGACACACAGACATAGTTACAAGCACACACACATTTGGACGCCTCCTTAACAGTGTTTTATGATATAGGACCATCAATAGTTGTGTGTATCTTTATAGTTGTTCTGTGTCTCTTTAACATAGTTTTCCATCTTGTGATTGTCATTTTTGTAGTTTGCATCTTATTTTGATAGTTTTGTCTCTTTGCAGTACCTTTGTGTCTCTATATGGATTTTTTTGTTTGTTGTTGCTTTGGCTCTCTGTGTGGTCATTTTGAGTTTTTGTGGTTGTTCGGCATCTATTTGTAGAATTTTAACTGAAGAAGAAGCTTTATTTTATTGTGACACATAAAATGAAATTTTGTTTGGAGCCGAGAGCCCCCGGGCCACTGCATGCATACACGCCGCCATCACAGACAACTTGCCCAAGGACACTTCGACATGTGACTCGAGCCGTCTGCTTTACCCATCGCACCATTGTTGCCCCCTGAGCTCTGTGACATTCAAACTCACATCTTGAGCCCAGGGCCCCCCTGACCTCTCAGGCCCCTGTGCCTGGTAGGCTTGTTCGGTAATCCCGCCATGCTGATGAGCCTGTGACAACCAGACTGAAGTCAGTATTGACTTAGCATGTTACGTCCTGCTCTGATGGTATGTGGGCCTTCAGCTACAGCAGCTTGGTCTCATTTACAGTAATCAAAGCCTGCTCTTCTGAGAAATTAACCCATTGTGTCTTTATGGCCTGTTGCATGTGGAGACTGGCTGTAATAGTTATTACACGCTGCATATGTCATCATCACATCTGATGGACCACCAGAGTATGTACATTGAGGGCCCTTATGTTTATCCAGTCACCATTACTTTGAACATCAGTGTGGGAGACTTTGTGTATTGTGGCTGTTTTTGGCCCATAAGGGCAAGCACCACGCCACCTCTACCCTACCAGCACAAGTTATTTGCCTGTTTCTTTGCTCCCGAGCCTTTGCTGAACTCACTTTGAACTCCCTTTATATTCTTCAGCTCTCATCATTAACATGTGTTTCCAAAGGTTTCACAAAGATAGGCTTGCCATCAAAGGGGAATGCCTCCTGGTCTGCAGCCTACCTGACAGAGCAGTAATACCTGTGTCCTGTTACTAGGAAATCTAGGATTTAGTGTAAGTTACCTGACCAAACAGTACGAACTTGCTGACTTGAAACGCTGTGTTTTATTAGTTATGGTAAGCTGTAAAGTGTCGTTACAACCATGTCCACAGCCACTCATTCCTCTCCTAGCTGAGCTGTGATACTCACCATCTGTTCCTTGTGTCTCTATAAACTGTACATTTTTAAAAGACCTTTTAGGCAAGTCATTAGAAACTTCAGATTCAACCCTGCAAGGCTGTAAATAGTTTCTGCTTTCCTCAGTAGACCAGAGCCACCAGGGCAGCGCATCTTGAGCTGGTTCCTAGAGGCCAGCTACGTTTCATCTCAAGGCAGCTGTGACATTTCCTGGAGCAGGAAAATAATCTGCTGGGGGAGAAAGACAGACTTGCAGCACAACTTCAGGTACATGAGTATGTCACGGCAGCTTATGTTCCTCAGTGCCACCCTCCTCACAGGACACATGCTGTTGCTTTATTATTTCAGGACCTCCTGCTCAGACGACAAAACCAGCTTGCCCTGCCAGAGATGATTGCAGACTCTGTAACACATTTATCAGGAATTTAAATTGCTTTACAATGGATGTATTTTGAAAAGCTCATGGCCTCTCCTGGTCATATTCCAAAGAGCATACTGGTATAACCTGCATCTCTAAAATTTGTCACAGATTAAGTTGATCCATAGCTTGATTGATCTTAATTTTGATTTTATCCACTATGTTTTTACAGGAGCTTATCTGCATGCTGTGGTTGTTAAACCTTATCAACACTCGGGATAAAGCATCAGACCCTTCTAACCACCTAGTCTATGACTGAATTTCAAGACAAAAAGAAACCCCTTCCCCCTCCTTTCCTTGGTACTCCATTCACTGAGGATTATATCTCTGCAATTGGCAGGACATTTTCCACCCCCAAAATATACAATTCCAGATCACGCTGGCAAGACTTTGAGTCTGGACTGGCGATTGTTGCAGAGACTAAAACGGGGCAGAGATACTGTACGGCCAGAGGGAGCAGGAGATGAGAAGGTGGAGGTGAAAGTGTGACTACAGATGGAATAGTATGTAACATTTTTCATGCTCCCCCGTGTGTAATGTATTTTTGGTGAATGTGTGTCTAATTGCAATTGTCTCACTGAGACAGATTGTTTTTTAATGTGACATTTATACTTCTGACAAGGATTTGGCATGGCTGCGAAGCTCTCCAGATGTGTTTACATACGATTAGAGATGGTGGTGGGGTCTCTATTGAACAGAAATGTGTAGTTTTACTGGGAAATGGATGCATTCTTATGCACTGACTCTTTCATTTTATTGAAGGTGATAACTATTCCTTGGAGGGAAATTTGATTGCTCCCATAACAACCATGCTGATACACAGAAGCTAAAATAGACTTTGAGTAATAATTATTAACAATTCACAGCTGTTTCTTGGAGAACTTTTCACCTCAAAGAAGGGTGACTGTTCCATCCTTTCACCTGTTCATCCATTATCAACCGCTTATCCAGGATCAGATTGCAGGGGCAGCAGGTTTAGTAGGGCGGTTTAGGCGTTCCTCTTCCCAGTAATGTTTTCCAGCTCCTCCTGGGGGACCCTGAGGTATTCCCTGGCTAGATGAAATATAGAATCTCTCCAGCATATTCTGGATATCCCTCAGGGAATCCTACCAGTTGAACGTTCCCGGTTAAACCGGTGGCTTCTGGTGGCCCGCCATAGGTGTGTGGGTGTGTTGTGTGTGCAAATGGGTGAATGGGCACATAGTATAAAGCACTGTGAGTGTGCACAGAAAGCTAGTTTACCAATGGAAGACAACTAAAAAGATGCCGGAACCACCTCAAATGGTTCCTTTCGAAGCAAAGAGCAGCAGCTCTATTCCATTTATTACTGTATCATATTACTGTATAAAGGCATTTTGCTGTTCTCACACTCACAGCCGCCAATCTGAATTGCATCTTCTCTATTGCTTGTATTACTTCACCTAAATTTCTAAAACAGCAATATAAACAATCAGTATTTTGTCAATATAAGATCAATCCTACCCACTCTCTTAAACAGATTGTACATTTGAGAGCTTCACTATTTTGCAAATCAGAGTTGAGTCAGATTGAATTTTGTGCAAAAGCAACAAGCTGGAAGGAAATGTGCCCCTCCCTGTTCCAAATAGATGTCAGTAGAAAGTAAATTGCAGTCTGAATGCACCTTCAGTCTTTCCTGTACTCTTTCAATATGGATTTAGCTGTTAAGTAACTTCCACTCAAGCCCATGTCTGGGCTCCTCAGACCTGTCAGCCACAGATGGACAGCCACAGGCCACGTCTCATGGCTCCACACTCATCAGTGCTATCTCTTCCTTTATCAGCAACCCCATAGTGTGTTGTATTTAGATTCTAGTAGTTTCTGTCTTTCCTGTTTAGAGGTTGATGCACAGATTACATCTTTTCATTTGTTTATCCGATGCCTGCTGTGTTTGGGTTGCTTGCAGTCAAGCTTCTTTACCTCCCTCAGGAACCTAAACCAAATATCCAAAGGGCTTTCCTGTTCCGTGAGTGAGTGGTAGGTGTTCCTGATCCCCCTTTAAGAACAGTTTCAGCCAGTCGTAATGGTAACAATGTGAATCCTCACTAGCCACAGGAGATGAATGCTTTGTTTAAGATAACCTTTAAAAAGTCCAGGATCCTCACATTTGACAAATCTGTTAAAGAGGGTGCCAAGGGTGCATCATTAACCAGCTCTGAATACTGTGCAGGCCAGGACATAGTGAATGATGTTGGAGCATGTAATCTCTCAGCAGTAAACCCCTCTCCCCCACTGTCTCCCACAGGCAGGATGACAAACCAGCTGACAGCCAACCAGTCCAACACAAACAAAGAGAAGGAGAAAGAAGAAAACCAGCGAGATGACACAAAAGAGGTTGTGTATAAAGATGCTGGCTACTGCAGCCGCAACACCCACAACCTGCTGCTGGGACTCACTGTTATGGGTATGTCCTGCTATTGTTGTGTTTACTGCAGTCCCTATAAGTTGTGTGTATGTGTATATGCAAAAAATGTCATTTAACTTCACAACACAAATATAAATGTAGTTGAACTACCACCAAGCTACTGCAAATTGTAGTTCACCAGTCCCCAACACTGGCTTTTATTATTACAAATAGCCATTTGTACTTGAGCAAATATTAACACACACAATCCTATATGTAAAGATTTCATGATCATTTGCCCCTGAGACATTTAGGCTTTTGTCAATTTTATTCTCCTTCTATAAACACTTGATGTTTCTGCCTAAATATGCTTTTGTTTAAAAGAAAAGCCCTGCAAATTTGAGAAGTGTGTTATTTTTGTCTGTCATCTGTTACCCAGATTTAAACCTCAATTTAATCCTGTTTACATTTCAGTAGATGGTTATCATTAGTCAGAGAACCTCTTACATGTCAGATGTACAACAACAGTTTTGGCCAGCGAGTCCACCACTAAAATATAAATTGTCAACATATGGTTTCTGAAGGCCGATACCTGCAGAGAGGTTTACATAGTTCTGATATTTTGCACTGATATATTGTACCCATTTTTGTTATCACTACAGTACATGTTTTTTCATGATTTCCAACTTCTTAAGAGTCTAAAACAATGTTTATTCCATTACAAAATTAGTCTGCTGTGCTGAAATGCAACTGTTTGAGGCTCTAGGCTTTAAAATGGTTTGAGAAACTAATGTGGATTTAATTTACAAAAGTAATGCAATACAAAACAAATTGTGATAATTTAATAATGTAGTCATTTTGATCCAAAAACATTTAGCTATCCTTATTTTGAAAAAAGTCCCAAAAATACAAAGGGTATAACACTTTCCTCACCTCAGGTGTTGTTATGGGAGCAGTGTTTGGGATGCTGCTGCGGTACATGACGGTGACAGACTACTCTGCCCTCACTGTGGTTTCCTTCCCTGGAGAAATCCTAATGAGGATGCTGAAGATGCTCATCCTGCCTCTAATCATTTCCAGCCTTATCACAGGTGTGCCACTTCACACACATGTAAAGGCGTAGTCACATTATCACAGAGTAATGCTGACATTGTTCACTAAATGCTAGCATTCCATAAGTATATTAAAGCAACATAGCAACATGAGTATGTTACTATGCTAACCATATATAGTTCTTATTTAAATGCTAAATGTTACATGCTTATGAAATGACAGTATGTTAACATGCTAACCGTACATGAAGAATTTAGTGCTCCACAGTCCCGGAAGAAAGGCCTGATTAAATGTGCACAGCCATCCCCTTTGTTTGCCTGTCATACATGGATCACAAAACTTCCATTTAACAAGAAGCCTCTAATGCTAATAGCTAAATTCCTGTCAGCCCCAGCTGTGCTTTTGAGTAATGCTAATGTTGCTTGCCAAGTGTTAACATATTACAATAACATGCTTAAACAAAGCAAAGGAAGTGAATTAATGGACCTTGAATATGTGGCCAAAGCTATTTTCTTTGCCTGTCCTGTAAACTTTTACTTAATAAAACATTTTGTGGGTGTGTGTTGAAATAAATAGACCACAGTGTCACACTTCCAGGAAAACCTGCTTTTATTTGCTCTGTGGATATTTCCACATATTCTTTTGATTATCGGTGAATGCAAACACTGATGTTTGTCTGTCTCTCTCAGGATTGGCTGGTCTAGACGCGCGCTCTAGTGGCAGGATGGGTAGTCGAGCCATGGTGTACTACATGTCGACCACTGTAATCGCTGCCATCCTTGGAGTCATCCTGGTGCTGGGGATCCACCCAGGGAACCCCAAACTAAGGGGGAGCACGACGAGCACAAGCACAGAGAACCAGGAGGTCAGCAGTTTGGATGCCTTCCTCGACCTGATTCGAAACCTCTTCCCTGAGAACCTGGTGCAGGCCTGCTTCCAACAGGTATGGTCATCTGTGCCATACTGTAGTACTGTTATAATCCTCAAACTCTTCTGATTCAAATGTAACAGATAAAAAGAGTGTCAGAAAAGAACAGTTGGTCGGCAAGTACTTTACTTTGATTTGACTGAAGCTTGATCATTTTTAGTTGTAGGTGTGAACCTGCATCCTCCAAATGAAAAGTCATATTAACCAAACCACAGTGAAAAACTGTTTTTTAGAATAGCTTTCAACAATGAAATTTAGTGTTCAGTAATACTAACTGCTGTTTCAGAAGTTTTACAATTGTAGCAAAAGTTACTACCAGCCAGTATTTGCTCAAGGTTTACTCAGCAGTTGACAAAACAATCTCGCCACAAGTTGAGTAGCTCTTCTGGAGCTTTCCCTCATCTCACACAACCTTTGTTAGAAGATGAAAATCATATTATCAAGGCCAAGAATGAATTTTTGGGACTAAAGAAATCAAAATTCTGCCACATATGGTTTTTTTTTCAGACTATTCTCTACAATCTTTACTATTTTTTGTTGAAACACAGAAGTGTTTTAACACTCAGCCTTTAATAAAGTGGTCAAAAGAAACACTCTAATAAGGGAAAATCATTCTTTATTCAGCTGCTCACATCTCAAAGACATGCACCTTGTGATGAAGAGTCAAACAGATGTTGCTCTGTGTTAATGGTTCACATGTAAAAGGGCTGGGAACCACCTAACTGAAGCCAGAGGTGAGATTGTTTTGTCCGCAACTGCCAACAATTATGATCAAAATTATATTATTTTGTTTGATTTAATATAATGGTAATGCTCCTTTATGCTCACCTGAAAAAAACCAAGTTGAGCAGTCTGGTAGAATGAAAGAACTACAGATTCTCTCGAGTCCAGTTGTCCTCCAAACTTCCTACACAGTGTTTTTTACATGTGTTAACAGGATGGGTGAAAGCATGATTTAACTCGAAGGGTTTTGACTGCAAAAGGACCAGAAGGTCAGGGCTGCCTTCTGTGGATGGATTGTCCTCTCTAAATATCCAGTTAAAGGAGTTCAGTAGTACTTTTGGGAAATATCCTTATTTGCTTTTACTTTTAAAGAGCATTGAGAGCTTTGTCATGCTTTTCCAGTAAATGTGTAGCTATACCGCCAGCAAACAGTTATCTTAGCTTAGCCAAAAGACTGACAACAGGGACACAGCTTGGCTGATTTTGTCCAAAAGTCCGCCTTTACACACTAGATCTCACTTGTTGAATCCATACATAAACCAAAATGCAGAAATAACTTTCTTTTTACAGGGGGTTATGTACTGAACGTTTTCTTGCCCCAGCTTAAACATATAAGACATAATTAAATTGTTTAGAAGTAGAAGCTGAATATTTACCATTGAGACATAAGAGTGGTATCAATCTTCTCATCTACCTCTCAGCATTTGCGTTAATGGAAAACTGTTCCTCTAAAGATCAGGTTTTAATTCCAATGCAAAAACACACAAAGTTCCTCAAATAAAACTACAAATTAAGACAACACCGAAGGTATGTTCCAAGTATTTATGGAACTGCTGAAACAATTAATCGATTGATGATGTTTACATGACATTTTTGTCATTTACATTTGGTGTCATCAGTTTCTCTGCTGTTTGTGTTTCTGTTTTTCCTCAGTCTGCATTTCAAACTTCAATATATTCAATATTCAATTCTGAGTGTATATGAGTCTAAAGGGGCATCAAACACTTATTGAATTTTTATTAAATAAATTGAATAAGTAGTTTGTCGATTACTAAATATCCAAAATAATGCTATGTGCAACCGTAACTGAGTATTGAAACAAAAATAGTATTTCTGAAGACAAGATAAGACAAGATTGTTGTTGTCTGTTAGAATAACAAGTGATGCGATAGTTAGTTGGTGGACACAGCAGGAGGACTCGAGCTTCTGTTTATCTAAGCTGATCATTTTTAAACAGCAATCTAAGTCTCAGTCATGCTGTGACTGTCTCCCTCCCTGACCTCAACACCCACCTTTTCTTTCTTTCATGCATGTGTCTGAATGATTAGAAGTGGTTATCTGTGTTTGACTGGGTGAGGCTCAGCCCTTCTGCTACTGCTAATCTCTTAACATCTGTAATGTTACATCCTTGTTGACCACAGTACGACTCTCTTGTCTTCACCCCATGGTATTCTCTGTTTTTTTCCCTTTTTCAGGCCTTTCTTTACATCTTTTCTGTTTGCATCTCTGTTTTACTGCTTCTTTTGTTTGTACTCACCAGGGATTCAATAAAGCCGCAGAAGGCGTAATTGCTTTTGCAGGGAGGAATCGTCCTCTTTTCAATCTTTCAACCTTCTTGCCTTCCTTTTTGGTCTCTTCTATTGTCTTTATATGAGAATCTCTTGTTCTCTGTTTAGCATTTTCTACAAACCCAAATCTGAACTCACTGTGCTGCTGCCAAGCTTTTGTTTGCTCATACACAATGTGACTTACAAAATCATGGTTTTGCAATGTGAGTTGGAATCATGCCAGTTTAGTTATAGCCTGAACCCCAGATCAATCCGGGTGTCATTCTGTCTTCCCCTTAGGTCCAGACAGTGCTGAAAAAGGTGCCGGTTGCAGGACATAACCAAACTGAGCACATTTTTGTGAACGGGAAGAAACTGGAATACAAGTGGGGCATGAATGTCCTTGGTGAGAGCTGATGCTACAGTGTTTGCTTTGTCTTGCTCAACTCATCTCATTGTACTTAATTTAAAAATTGGCTGCTTTGCATTGAGAACTAGTTTACCTTACTGCCTGTTGAGGTTTCCATTAACATGCTATTTTATATCTTCAAGGCTTAATCGGCTTCTTCATCACCTTTGGCATCTGCATGGGCAGGATGGGTGAACGGGGGAAGATCATGTGTGACTTCTTCAACATCCTCAACGAGATTATCATGATGATGGTTTCCCTTATCATGTGGTCAGTGCCTTGTTTTCCCTGTGAGCTTGCAAGCACAGTGTGCGTCTCTGTTTTTGCTCATGTGGGCCAGTGGTTGCATTGCTTTGACATTCTGGAGATACCACACACACAGGTCACTGACAGTGATGGATAAGTGAAGATTGTGTACATGAGGCAAACTGTGGGAAGAAGCAACAGCGAAGATGAAACAGAAGAGAAAGGATGAGGAAGAGGGAGAAAGTGTGCTAGTGAAGGACTCAGACAGATGGAAAGGGAGAGAGAGGGTTTCCCTGGGACATGCTGGAGTCTGTGGTATGCTGGGGAGTAGCAGGAGCCAGGGCCCGGAACAATGTTGTGGGGTCCCAGGGGAGCCGGGGGTGGAAGATCTCCAGACTGTAATGGATCCACCGACAGCAGAGGAGCCACTTGGCAGCAGAGCCGAAAGCAGATGTGGGCGGGAGGGACAGCAGGACACAGAAAGATGCGTGTGAGAGCATGCCTTCAGAGAGCAGTGCACGCACTGAGGCTTTGCAGGACCTGTTTAGTCACAGCAGGCAAGAGTATAGTGCCACTCAGAGCAAGGACCCGAAGGGAAGGGATAGGGGGAGCAGGGTAGGCGGTTGGAAATAAAACAGCAGGATGCTTGTCTTGCAGCTCTCCTAGGCCATCTACATGTGCAGCTGGACACCAAAGGAATTGTGTCCTTGTTCGTATCACTCATACAGTATAAACAGATTACTCATAGGCCTATGGAGGGAGCCAAACACAGAGTCCAGTGTATACAAAAACACATATCATACAAGGAACACATCCATCAAATCATATGCACGGCATACTCCACCAAACAACTGTCAGTGAATGCCAGCCTCAGGGTTCGGCATGCAGCTGACCTGAGAGTGCTGGCCGCTGCTTTGACTCGTACCAGGAAGGGCTTAAAGGGGAACACTGCTTTAACTCATATATCCTACTACGCTCCATATTCATGAACAACTGCACTCCAGGGCTGGAAACCAGAGATCCAAGAATGTCTGCTCTGATGTTTCTTTCTAATGCTGTGCTCAGGTACTCTCCTCTTGGCATCGCCTCTCTGATTGCGGGGAAGATTGCAGCCATTGGAGACCTAGAGGTGGTGGCCAGGCAGCTGGGCATGTACATGGTGACCGTCACTGTGGGCCTGGTGATCCACGGCGGCTTGATCCTACCTGCTATATTCTTCATTATCACCAGAAAAAGCCCGTTTGTTTTCTACTCTGGAATCTTCCAGGCTTGGCTCACTGCTCTGGGCACTGCTAGCAGGTATGTCAGCTTGCGGGAAGTGTCTCTATGTGTGTGGGGGACTTGTCTGTTTGGGTGTGTTAACATATGTGTGTCACATGTTTCTCGTACAACATCTTTTCCTCAAACAGCTGCTGTAGTTGCTGTGATTGACTGGTGTAGCCTGCTATTAGCTTTCAACTATTTGGGTTATATTTTAATGGGCTAAAGGTTTACACAAGTGAACTGGGAAATCAGGACAGCAGAGCCAGTTGTGTGTGAGCGCAGGTTATCATAGACAAGTCCATGTCAGTTCCTGTGTTATAAATGTCTAAGCACTGGATTAGTAGTCACTAGCCAAACTGTATGCCCCAATGTATCCGGCCTGGCTCGGCTCAGCCTGCTTGGAATTCTGCATCGCCACTGAAGCCAACTGTAATTTTGTTACATTACTGAGGCTTTAGTGAACATGGGTAATCCTATCAATGTTTTCTCTAATTACATTATGACCTGAGCTTAGCAGGGCCGGGAATCAAATTCCTATAATTCACTTGTTGGAGGATTGCACCAGTGGCCTACACCAGCTGTTAGGAGGAGCCCGGCGGCCGACTCAAATTTCTACAAATTTCTGTCCCTACCCCATCATCATCTTCCTCACCTCTGCACTTTTGTCTTTCACCATCTGTCTATGTGTTTATGACCTTAAGCCTGTCCTGTGCTCTCATTCAGCTTTGTTTTCTGATTTGCGATCTTATGGGGCTTTTTTTTTCCTCAGTGCAGGGACGTTACCTGTCACCTTCCGCTGCCTGGAGGAAAATCTCAAGATTGATAAGCGCGTGACTCGCTTCGTGCTACCCATAGGTGCCACCATTAATATGGACGGCACTGCTCTGTATGAGGCTGTGGCAGCCATCTTTATTGCTCAGATGAATGACATCACCCTGGATAGTGGACAGATCCTCACTGTCAGGTAAAGCATGTGGTGGGGGGCCCCATTGTGATATTTTCATGTTCTATGCCTATTCTGTGCGCTTGTTCTTAAAAATGGCAGAGTTTCCAGTTTTAATAGCCAGAGAGCAGTGATATTACACACCGCTTCACACTGTGATTGGTCAGCTGTGAGATGCTGAGGGTTGAACTTCTCTCTTAAGCTCTCTTGTTTGAGTACAACAGTGTTTACCACTATAGAAAACATGAAGTTGTCCTCACACTGTGTTGAATTTTGGAAATATCCCACTCATTATTCATCATAGAGATATACACTTGATACATCTAACATTAAATACCTACACTAGCGGATGCTTCATCTACATCCAAATGTCCATTTTAGTGTTCAGTTTGAGCGCAGACAGAACAGAAATTGGCCCTTTTCATGTGACATCACACAAAGACCATTGTTCCTCTGATGGGTGTATCCTCACTTTCGCTTTTCAGCTTAATCATTGAGTTCATAAGTCTAAAGCAGCTGCCACAGCCATTAATGGACACATCTGAAGAGCTGCCCAGCTTTTCAGATATGTTATTATGAATTTTCAAGAAATGAGAATGCAACAAAACTTACTGTTCAGGCAGAAATAATTTGAAACGGGTCAGTGAGTTCAATCCTGCTCAAAACCTTTTAGAAGTTAATATCTCTGCACTGCTGTTCAATAAATCTGGGTCACAAGAGGCTTCAACAGCACCTCTCCACATTAAGAGCAGGTTTTGGAGTGTATTTCCACTAAAAATATTTTAAAAACCTATATTGTAGCTTTAACAAACTAAAGCTTACAACTGCCACCATCTGCACTGATGAGGACCCAAATGCAGACAAAGACAAGTTGGGTGAGAAAAAAAAAGGTTTTAAAAAGAATAAATTACCAAAAACAGAAGACTATAATACATAAAAACACCAAACTCAAAAGCTCAAGCCTGAATAAATGCAACACAAAGGCTCCTAACATAAGACAGAACAAGACAGAAAGCTCCTTTCAAAATAAGAGTTCAAACCAGGAATCACGACAGCAATACTTGAATTGGAATTTTTTTTCTTGAACCCATGCCACAAGTTTGTTGTTCATTTTTGATGTTTACACAGTCAGCTGATTATAACAGGTAAGAGGTTGTCCAGGTAGTGCACACCTGAAAGTCACATGAACAATAAAATAAGCATTCTGATTGGCTGCTGCAGTAGCTGCAACTGTTTCAACTCACTGTGTAACAGTTCATATGTAACATTGTCCTGACTGTAAATATGCCATTAAGGCAAGGAAACACTGGTGTAAACAAAAGTGAAAAGACCTTTTCACATGACTTGCATCCATTATAGGTCGTGCACTTTATTGCTCAGAGATTACCAGCAGTCTTAAGATCAAATGAATGCATTACTCTGCAGTGCAAAGTAATAACATGTTTGTTTCCCATTTCCGTTTCATAGCAACATCTCAGTCTGATTGGAGCCAGTCTACTTGGATCAGTCTGTTTGTTGTGGCCTTGGGCAACAAATGATGCTCAGCACTTTGAAGCTGTTTATTATATGTCTTTCTTTGACGTACCGTCAAATCGCAAAATCTAATTTTCAGACATTCTGTATAACTTTTACATCACCTGTGGTAAAATTGTTCTAGAATATCAACATGTGAATGTAAATTTCTTCAGTGTCTCACTGAATGTCCTGGTCTCAGCGAGGTGATAATTAGTGCTGCAGTTTATGCAGAGCTCTGAGATCAGATGAGTAAATATTGTGGGTTAGAGCGGTGTTCAAACTGGCCTCCAGTCACATCTGGGAATAACCTGAACTGATAATTTCTCTAATTGCAGACATGTCATGACAAGCAACATTCTTTTGAGCATTAAAGATTTAAGTCAAGAAACGCAAACAGATTTTGTTTTGCTGTGGATGGAAGAAGTGAATAAACATTTCTCCTGGTCCCTCTTTCTCTTTCATATATCACCTGATTTATGTGGTAAAAGTAAGACGTGTAAACACCAGCTTGTTAGAAAGTTAAGACACCTTATAAGAATATGATACCACAGCTCACCTTCTGCAGTTATCTGCAGATTGAGTATCTACCATAATGATAAAGTAAAGTAACCCCTCTGGTAAGAAATTCACTCTCAGCCTTTCAGCTCTTACACAGCGTGAAAGTGTTTTCTTATCTGTTCTCCCCAGTATGACAGCCACTCTTGCCAGTGTTGGAGCTGCCAGTATTCCCAGCGCTGGACTGGTGACCATGCTGCTCATCCTGACAGCTGTCGGGTTGCCCACCCACGACATAAGTCTGCTCATCGCTGTCGACTGGCTGCTGTGAGTCAGGTGTCTGACAGGCAGAGGGCATATTAATGGCAGAGAATAAGGAATCAGGAGCTATTTTTGTTTCAAAACTAACGTTTGTGAGATGGGTTGCAAAAGTATTGGCATTACTCAGATCTTGGCGGGTCTCATCATTTCACAGGCTGACAGTGATACTGTTTGTTCACTCAGTGACAGAATGCGTACCTCCATCAATGTGGTGGGTGACTCATTTGGTGCCGGGATCGTGGATCACTTGTCCAGGGCAGAGCTCGCTGAACTTGACGCAGCAGAAATGCAAATGCTCCTGCCAGAGGAGGAGCTCAATTTCATCCCTCCACCACCAATCCTCACACAAATGGACCTGGTCGACCCTCTCAAACCGCCCGAGCTGCCTCCTCGCTCCCCTCGCCCGCCCAAACAAAACAACCATGGCCACATTCTCTCTCAGTCCCGCTCCATCACTTATTCCCCATCCCGTTCTATCCGATCTCCATCTCCTCGCTCCATCCGTACTCCTTCTCCGCGCTCCATCTGCTCCCATTCTCCCCGGCCTTTCTGTACTAATTCACCACACCTCCTCAACAGGACGGAGCTGGGCTACTGCTCCCTGCCCAGTCATGATAACCAGGTATCTACCCAGCACTGATGGACAAACACACACTCTGTAGAGCTGTATAACTAAGATATATTAAGTACTTGTTTATTAGTCAAGACTCTGCCACATTATCTGTTTAAAATCACTTTAAAAAAAAAAAGATTTGTAAGTTTTAACACATTGCTTTATTAATAATTAGTACCATCAGTCAAAAGCCAATGATAATGACAACATTTGTGTTGATAGGTCAGGAAAAATCCCAGTGGCCGGTGTTTATCATTTCTGTTTGGTAATAATTCAGTCATAAATTTGGTAAACATAAACAAATGTTCATGTTTTCTCAGTTTCTCATAAGCCATAAAGTTGGGAATGAAAAAAGTTCATGTTCAACTGACCCTGGCTGCCCAGCTCCAGAATCTCACAGGTGCAATGAGACAATGGGATTTTTCACGATCCTACAACTGAAAAGTTGTCTTATTTATCTCTTTATTATCATGAATAAAGCCATTAGTTAGAACTTTGAACTGATTATAAAGGGTGCCTAATTAAAAAGTGGGCCATTATGTATTTAAAATGTGTTAAAATGGAAGGCCCCGCAGTGTATTGAACTCAGATTAGGACCATATTAACATCTTGTGCGGGGCTGAATAATTTTGCACGCCCAATTTTTCAGTTTTTTATTTGTTAAAAAAGTTTGAAATATCCAATAAATTTCGTTCCACTTCATGATTGTGTCCCACTTGTTGTTGATTCTTCACAAAAAATTACAGTTTTATATCTTTATGTTTGAAGCTTGAAGTGTGGCAAAAGGTCGCAAAGTTCAAGGGGGCCGAATACTTTCGCAAGGCACTGTATTTAAAATGTGTTAAAATGGAAGGCCCCGCAGTGTATTGAACTCAGATTAGGACCATATTAACATCTTGTGCTATAGCATACTGTAGTTTGTTAACATGTGTTAACATGCAGCACCAGAGTCTGTGATTTGCCAGAGATACTGTACATGGCCGATTTAGGTCTCTTTGTTCTTACACGTTTCAGGTAAAGACACATCTTCAAAACCTGGTACTTTCCTTCAGCATTTAGCATATGTTGTGTAAAACTGATGGATCTGCCTTGTCTCACTTTTTCCTCTCTGCCTTCTCAGGTGCCCACACTGCTTCGCTCCCGCAGAGAGAAAGACAGGGAGCGGAAGCAGCTGAGGCGAGAGAGTGAAACAGAAGAGGAGGAGGAGGAGGACAGAGAGAGGGTTTTGGGTGAAATAAGTGATGACGAAGACAGTGATGACACTGCTTATGATCGGAGGCATGCTATCCCACCGGGTGACCTTCCATGATTGGATTTTACTACCAAAAGGCTTCCCAAATGATTTGTTTCCATATGTCAGCAGCTTTTCCCACTTTAGTGCACCACTCTGCTGTTGAGCAAGCATCCAGAGGAGGTCCACTGTAGATTTCTGACTGGTTACCCAAAAGTAAGGACAAAAAAAATACAAACATCAATTTCAAATACAATGGGCCCTAAAAGAGGCCAACAAAAGATAAGGAAACTCAAAATACAGCAAACCGAACTGCACAGTACCTCAAACAAAAACCAACTGACCTAACAAATGAGACACACACACACACACACACACACACACACAGGGGAACATATATACTGGCTGGCCAAACCAACACACAAAGATGCTATCTAAATAATCTACCAATAAACACTGAACAGAAAGTCTGCTGACAACTAAATACTTTTCTTTAGATGGAAAAAATAACATAACTTGACAAATAAAGTTTTAACATAAACTACAAACAAATAAACAATACATTTCTCCCATTGATTAATTGTGTATGTCCAATGTCAAATCACATACCTATCCTCTACCTACAACTTAAATCTACACACATGAACAAAGAAAACAAATGAACATTACCTAGCTAATTCTACTGCTGCTAGTGGTTTAGGCCTTATTAGTTATTCCTTTACCTTTGCTCATCTCCTTTTTTCTACTTTTACTCTACTGGCAGGAAATGAAAACTAATCATTTTAAAGGAATAGTTTGACATTTTGGGAAATAAGATTATTTGCTCTCTTGCAGTTAGAGGGGAAAATTTATACCACTCATGTCCTTTCAGCAAATATGAAGCTTGAGTTAGCAGCTGTGTTAGCTTAGCTTAGCACGAAGACTGGACCTGATTTGGTCCAAAGGTAACAAAATCCACATACCAACAACTCTAAAGCTTATGTGCTAAAACAAAGTGTAAACTGACAAGTCATCCTCTTATACAACATTAGGAATGGTCCCAGCCAAGAAATAATCCAGTATAAATGCCCATAAAGCCACCACTTGTCTTTTTACACTTGGCTTTTTGTACGGCTGTTTATTTAATAAGCTTTAGTGGTGGAGTTTGTTTTCTTTAAACAAAGCCAAGCTACTTGTTTCCCCATTTCAAGTCTTTGTGCTAAGCTATGCTGGCTGCAGCTACATATCACTGTACTGGTATCATTCTTCTTATCTTGGTAAAGAAGTAAATGTGAATTTCCCAAAATGTTGAACTATTCCTTTTAAATGACATTGACATAAACTCATTCTCTACCTCCTTGCATCTCTTTGCATCTTCATCCTTGATGCTCTTCTTGAACATCTCATTTTCCCTGACAGCACTCACGTTTGATGTTAATGTTGTTTATATTATCTGTGGTTTGTATTTTCTTGATGTGGTCTGATGTCTGAAATGATGAATAACAAGCAATATGCTGTTTAATTTTGCTGTATGTTTAAATTTACTAGCTTTTTTTGCTGTGATTTATTATTTTGACTTCTTAATTGCTATAAAATAATTTAATCAGTCTCCTCTGGCCCACTCAACTGCCTTTCAAATCTGAGTTAATTAACTGCCACCCTTCATCCTTAACTCTGATTCACAGGCCCAGGTTGTGTGTATATATTATATAATAAAATCTTAGAGTTAATTAAAATAATGGCAATATTTCCATGTTTTATCTGAGACTTAAGTAACTTTTACAGTCTGCGCAAGGGATTTGCAGGTGACATGGGTACATGCGTCAGTGTTTGGCGACTAAAGTTGCAGGAAAAATCCCGCATACAGATATTAGAGGATGGAAAAGTTGCAACAGACACCCAAACCAAAGTGCACACATGAGGCTGCTCTTACACATTAATGAGGCAAAGACTCGTAGAACTACACATTTAATCCTCTCAAAGAAGAGTGAGATAGGCGAGGCAGGAGAGACTGAGGGATGGGAGAAGAATCAGAGGGACGGCAGATGGCCAGAAAGACGTCAGTCCTTTTCATTCTTCCCAGACACCATAAGGGTGCTGTGGGTAATTGCAAGCAGTGCTGATGTTAGCTTTGGCTCCCTGTGTGTCAGAGGGGCGGATTCAGGT